CAACATCTCATACAAACCAATACCACACCCAACTGCTGCACGCTCGCACAACGCACCCTTTCGCATCCACACACACCAGTTGCGATGCACCCACGCACACACCCACTGGATCTACCTCCACACGCACTCACACACACTCAACCGCCCTCCACAAGAGGACATAAGGGCACCATTACGGCGCGATTGCGCCTGCTATTTCATCGGATCGAAGAGCGAAGTGTGAGAGAGAGAGAATAACGGTGAAGTAGAGACGGTTGAACGTTTCAGTATTACAGAAGAGAGAAGCCAGCATGAGTTACGAGCACCATCGTCGCCGATGAGGGAGAACAGCGACGACGAAGACGGACGAGAGGAGAGAAGATGGAGATGGGAGGGGATGAGAGGACATGAGATGGCTACGATGACGAGACGACTGGGAAAGAAATGAAATTAGGTTTTGATTTTAGGATGAAATTATTAATTGGAATGTTTTAATAATTAATCATAAATTAATCTATACACAAAATTATTAATTTGTAATATGAAATTTGATTCAGAATTTATAAAATTGGTACTTTAAATTGTAATATGAAACTTGATTCAGAATTTATAAAATTGGTACTTTAAATTGTAATATGAAACTTGATTCGGAAATTGGTACTTTAAATCTAGGGCTAGGGCTAGGTATAACTCCCTCGTCTAAAAATTTTATTTTGCCAAAGAGGAAGAAATCCTTCCACTTGCAGAAAGCCCTAAAACGGTAAAACCCATCCTAACTCTCACACTCGCGCCTGCGCACACACAAACACACACTTCCAAACCCTATCGATATCTCGATCTACTCTTTCATTTCGCGGTACTCTTTATCTCTCTGTATTCTCACTTCATACGTCGTTCTTTAGTGTGTGTAAGTACATATATCTGATCGTGTGTTGTAATTGCAGAGATCCGGAAAGTTGCGATACGATGTCGTTGAGGGTGCTGAATCCGAATGCAGAGGTGCTGAACAAGTCGGCAGCACTTCACATGAACATCAATGCCGCCAAGAGTTTGCATGATGTCCTCAAAACCAACCTCGGACCTAAGGGCACTATTAAAATGTAAATGTTATATATATATATAATTTTTTTCCCCCTTTTTAATTCGACTTATTATCGTTGTAATTACTTAGAGAGTTCTAAATTAATTACATAATTTATCGATGCTAGGCTTGTTGGTGGAGCTGGTGACATTAAACTCACCAAGGATGGCAACACGCTTTTAAAAGAGATGGTTAGTGTTTTTTCTGTTATTATTATTATTCTGGTCCATAGATTTTTTGGTCTCAAGTGTTACTGTTTGGGTATTAGAATATTGCAATTTTTTTTGGTGTTTGGATGGTCGAG